CAGGGAAGGGGGTGGGTAAAGGGTGTTCAGTTTTGTGCAATTAGAAAGTTGGCAACCCTACCAAAAGAGCATAGTCTAACTGAGAAAAGATGGTCAAGTATATGTAAAAAACAGTAGTAAGGAAAGGGGGAGGACAAGGGAAACAGTAATAAGAACATGCATGTATACTGGCCATTTTCACTTTGATGATGAATGATGATTTCTGTTACATTAATATCTAGGTCTCAGTGTGGATCAGGATGTGATTGTACTAGACATGTTTTAAACATACACCTCTACCCCAATATAACGCCACCCAATATAACACGAATTCGGATATAATGCGGTAAAGCAGCGCTCCGGGGGGGACGGAGCTGCGAGCTCCGGCGGATCAAAGCAAGTTCGATATAACGCGGTTTCACCTATAACGTGGTAAGATTTTTTGGCTCCCAAGGACAGCGTTATATCGGGGTAGAGATGTATAATGAAAAAACTGTCCTATACCACCATTCAAACAAAATTAAAATTTGGAGGCTAAACCATTAGTTAGACCTTGTTCCTTTTAAATTTGAGAGGTGTAGATTTGAGGTTGAAGACACAGTCCAGAAACCTCTAGCATTGAAACAGGGCATAAAATTCAGTCAGAGCAAGTTTAGTCTGTGATTGACTCAATGCCTAAAATGTTAAATGTTTTGTTTATACGATGTCTTACCTCTGTCCATAAGAGTACTTGAGCATTTGGGAACTCCCCTCACTGCCTGTCCCTTTTTTCCTAACCAGAATTTTAATATGTCAATTGTGGCTTAGACCCTTATACATCTTGTGTTTGCAGAACTGCAGGACTGCCAATAAGCTGGTTGGGAGATGGGGAGATGACACCCTAATTTTTGATGGGGGCCAAATAGAGGTTAGCAGTGTTTTTCGTCAAAATCATGAGTGTTTCAGCTTCCTCTTTCCACATCCCTTGCTTCCAGTACAGCAGTTTTTTAAGATGTAAATCAGTTGTTGAGATCAAGAGGAAAGTTGATTCCTGCCATTGACTATGGCAGATACAGATACTCCCCAGGTTACACAAGACCCGACTTACACAAATTCACACTTACAGAAAAAGTTCCAGAAATAGATTTTTGAGTTGTGGAAATTTTTGCATAACGTATGTTTCCGACTTACGCAAAATTCGAGTTATGCGAGGCTTTCTGGAACTGAACGATTGCGTAAGTCGGGGGCGTCCGTAGAAGCTGCTTGTTTGCAGTGACCATGCTTACAAATTAGTTGGGAAATTGTAAATTATGTTAGGTCACTACCGGCGAACTACTGTAAGAGGAAACAAGGTGAGGTAAATGCAGACTCAGATTATGAATATGTATGTAAACCCTAGTAGCTGTTTAACCTTGTGCTAGTCCTGTTTGGCTGGATAATGTCATAGTGTCTGGCATGGCACTTTAGTATTTTGAGATTTTTCCTTCCTTTTTTGGTATACCATTGGCTTTGTACGATATTAAGTACTAATAAAACTAAATTTTATAAGGAAAGGGGATTTCTTTGGTTAAAGAAAGTCCAAAATCTAAGTTTTATAAACATAATAATAAACATAATGTTTTACAAAATAATATATAATAATAAGCATACGGTTTTACAAAACCTAGTATTAATAGAAATGTTTTTGCAATGATCATAAAATTGCAGCATTGTGATAAAGAAAAATTGACTAAGAAATAAACATGAAACTATTTTTATTGTCCACAATGAATTACATGTAAAAAATAAATAGCATAAATGGTGAAATATGTAATATGCTTTCAGTATTGATACTCTTAGATGTTGTTAACACAGGTAAGGAAGCCTGGGGAGTTTAAATGTGATTTTTAAATGAACATTGTCCTTTTATGCTGCCGCTCAGCGTGTGAGCATTGTTGGCCTGTTTTTTAATTAGGACCACAGCTGGTAGTCATTGAAGAAAAATGTACAAAGGGGAGAGGTGTTCACTTGACTGTGTGATACTGGTTTTATACAACTTAGAGAATTGTAGCTATTATTGACCTGTGGAGAGAAGGCAGTGCTTTGGAGGAGAGTGTGTGTTAAATAGTTCTGTGAAACAGATGCACTTTACTTTATAGTAGAGCTGGTCAAAAACCTGAAAAGACTTTTTTTCAAAAAAACAAAAAACACCATTTTTTTTGTGAAGTATGTGTGGTGTTAATTTGTGTATTACTTGAGAGCTAATTATACAAGCCCATAACATAATATTAAGGAGAAAAAAGTTCATAGATAAGAAATGTATGACCATTGCTAAGAGCAAGAGTGTCTAGAGTGCATAGTGTAGAAAATATAACCTAATGCTTGAAAAATCAACTTTCCTTTGTCCCACTGGGAAGTAAGAAGCTTTCCATGGTGCATGAAGGGGCACAATTTCTACAGCATAATTAGGCTTTCATTTGTGTGTGTGTGTGTGTGTGTGTGTGTGTGTGTGTGTATATATATATATATATATATATATATTACACGCACACACACACACTATTAAGGTTGCAAAGTATTGGGATTCCCTCTGAGACTTTTTCCACTTGTCTTATCCAGAACATCTTGCCTAGTTCTGGGAGAATACTTTATCCAGTTCTCTGGAATCCAAGAAATTCGTTCAACTCAGGATTCTTTACTGAGGTTTCTTTATTGGCATACAATCAAACTACACTTGAGTTGATCAGGCTCAAGTGTAGGGGTTGGATTCAGAGTACACATCCACACATCCAATATACGTAATCGTGAGTCAGTTTATATACACACTTATACTTAATACTATTGGTTAACGACTTTTATGGTTGGTCTACTAATTTTTTTTAACCAATCCCTGTACAAATCATGAACTGTCCATGAGCTGCAAAGTGTCCTAGTAAGCAAAACTGCAGTTGCAAGCTTATCACACATTATTCTTACTATTTCTTTATCTACTAATGACATGTTATTTACAAGGCCACTTGTGAATTTATGCCTTGTCCACTGTTAACCTCTGTTTCCTCACTACTGTTTTCTTTCATTGTTCATGCAAGGCCTACACAAAGTCAAACATTTAAAGTTAGGAAATGGCAGAATTTAGGTTGTCTGTGCAACCTTATTTTAACCCCCAGTGCATATGCATTATGCACAGTGTTTAATTACATGATCACATACTGTTTTTCCATAGGACCTTTAGATCTACCACACAGACCTCTGCCACTTGAGCTAGCAGAGTAACTGATAGCAATAGTAGGTTGTCATCCTCTATGGGGACCAGCACTAGAGGAGGATGGGATACTCTGCCAGTGGATACCACAGATATTTTCTGACAGCAGAGGAATGGAAAGACTAAGGAATCTTAGATTCTGTTCTAGGCTCTGGAACAGAATGTACTCTACTTGACACAGACTCTTCTTCCCATTCCCCACAAGCATGACTCCTTTCTGCCCCACCCCCTTTCACTTGTCCAAGTCTTATCTCTTCCACACCACTGGTTCCTTGTCCCAGTCCCATTCTCCTCACCTAAATAGGCTCAGTGTCTACTCCTCAGGCTTCTGATCCCAGTTCTAATCTCTTTGTCCATCAATTCCTTGTCTCACTTCTCCAGACTTCGAGTCCCACCCCACCCCCCAGCTACTTGCCGCCAGTCTCATTGCCCAGCCAGTCCCATTCTGTCTCTCCCCCTTCCCCCCCACACACACCCCTGCAGCTCCTCCACAGATCTGTCTCACTGGCATAAATACACCTCTACCCCGATATAATGCTGTCCTTGGCAGCCAAAAAATCTTACTGCGTTATAGATGAAACCGCGTTATATTGAACTTGCTTTGATCCGCCGGAGCACGCAGTCCCCCGTCCCCCCCCCAGAACACTGCTTTACCGTGTTATATTCAAATTCGTGTTATATCGGGTCGCATTATATCGGGGTAGAGGTGTATATGGGAAAAGGTATATTTTCAATTTTATTTTTTAAAGTAAAAATTGATGTTCATTCCTCTTAGATTGCCCATTTTATCACAATTTTCCTGGCTGATCATAAATTTGCATATGCCATCAGGTAAGTATGGGATATGCCTTGTGTTCCATCTCTCATCTAGTTTTCGGTTCCGTTTCTATTGTTCTTTCCCATTCTGGATGGCTTTCTCCATTCTTCGGTTTAGTTGTTAGTAGCATGTTCTCTGATATCTGGGTGTACTGCATTTTAATTTCCAATATTTTTAATTGAAGAATTACATATTTACACAAAGGGGGAAAAATACAAAGATCCCTTAACGCTAATATACAGCAGACATACAGTGAAGATTGAAAAGCATCTAAAGAGTATTGGAATTCACATTTTGAAATTGTAAAATATCTCTGGGACCTACCAGACTGTACGAACTGTAAGGACAGGATTTTGCCTTTAGTATGATTGCTTAACCCAGATAAATTATCTAGGATAGAAATGCAGGTCTGGTCCTTGCATTGCAACTTCAGTAAATCTTTGTTGTTTAAACTCACTAGCATGAGACCCGGGAAAAAATTATCTCAAACAACTGCAAAATGGTAGCTCTGTAAGTGGAATTCGTATTAGTCTCAAAGTAACATTTTAAATCCTTGCATGCCATATTCCCATTGTTCTCTGTAGGAAGGTTTCACAGACTTTTATGTCTGAAAGCATTCAGATGGTTAAAGGACACTGCACCTTCTTTTATAGCACAAGTCTCTGAGCTAGTATCCACTGGGATAGTGTAAAAAAGCTAATGGACGCAGGCTTCCAACTAAATTACACTGCATTATTTTTACCCTTGTTATGTGTGTTCTCTCTCTTAATACAGTATATGCTCCTCCTCAGGAGTGTTCCAGGAAAAGCATTCAGCTGCATGTGGATTATTTTATCCCATTTTGTGATTTAAAAGTTCTCAAGTGTGAAATTCACACTTGCTGTGAACACTGATGCCTCCTAGTAGTTTACAGTAGTGGTACATTAAAAGAGTGGTACATTTGGTAGACAAGTTTAACCTGGATACATTTTGATTGTCTTACAGCTCCATTTAGCAGCCCTGGCATCACTAAAGGGAGATATAGTGGAGCTTAATAAACGTCTGCAGCAAACAGAAAGGGAGCGGGACCTGCTGGAAAAAAAATTGGCAAAGGCTCAGGTGAGTGATGGTTCAAGATCCTGGAAATGGTCTGGGTTGTTTTCTTCAAACAGAGGAAAAGAGATTAAAGATAACATACACTGATATCAGTGGGGAAAAGTTTTAAGAAAGCATAACAAATATTTTTGCCAAAGATGTTAAATTTTTATGTTTTGATGGTAAGTGTTTAAAAAAAGTCAAGAAATAATTTCATTAAATTGGTTTAGTTTGAAGCCAGAATAAATAACCAGTTGTAACAGGGAACATTTTAAACTATATTGTTTCAGGAAATATAAATTACTGAAAGGCCAAGTTGGCTTAGATGATTGAGTATAAAGTCTTTAACTTCTAGGTCAGGTTCAAATCCAGTTCAGATTAGTAGTGCTCAGAAGTCATTGCGACTCAATAGCTACTCAGGGGTCTGTGAGAAATTATATGGTGGTCTCAGTCCAGTTTCTAGTGGGCAGGTGTCCATATAACTACAATCAACGTCACAACTGATGTTCAGTAGAGAAGCTAAGGACTGAATCAGGGTGCCCTCTGACCCTTAGAAATGGTCCTTTCATGTCAGAATAAAACAGGTAGGAAGGCAGATGTGGAAAACTTGTACTGTTTTCTATATTGTAATCTTCTTTAGACACAGAACCTTTCTTTTCAAACGCAGTCACTCTGGCACCTTTCACATGCCTTACATTTCTAAACTGACTCAAAATATAAAAATATGGTCATGTATTCATAGAGTTTAAGGCCAGAAGGGACCATTAGATCATCTAATCTGATTGATATATCACAAGTCATTAAGTTTCAGCCACTTACTCCTATACTGAGTCTGTTTGGCTAAACCATATCTTCCAGAAAGGCATCTAGTCTTGATCCAAAGACATCAAGAGAATGAGAATGCACCACTTTCGTTAGTAATTTGTTGCAATGGTCAGTGACCCTACTATTAAAAATGTGTGCCAATTTCTAACTTAAATTTGTCTGACTTCAGCTCAAAGGCACTGATACTTGTTATGCCTTCCTCTTCTAGAATTACACAGTATTTTCTCCCTGTGAAGGTACTAAACACTGCAATCAAGTCACTTCTCTATCTTCTTTTTGAAAAACTAAATTGGTTGAGCTCTTATGTCTCCCACTGTAAAGCATTTTCTCCAGCCCTCAAATCACTTGTGTGGCTCTTTTCTGTACCTTCTCCAGTTTTTCAACACCCTTTTTAAAATATGGACACCAGAACTGCACACAGTATTCCAGTATCTGTCTCACCCATGTCACAGACGGAGGTAAAATCACCTGCCTACTCCCCTGTTTATATTTCCCAAGATTGCATTAGCCTTTTTTTGCCACAGCATCGCATTGGGAGTTCAAATTGAGTTGTTTGTCTACTATACCCCTAAATCCATTTCAGTCATTGCTTTTCAAGGTGCAGTCACCAATTCTGTGGATATGGCATACATTCCTTGTTCATAGGTATGTAACTTTACATGTGGCTGTATTAAAATACATTTTGTTTGAATGGGCCCCGCTTACCAAATGATCCTGATTGTTCTGTATGACTGCCTGTTGTCCTCATTGTTTATCAGTCTGCCAATCTTTGGGTCATCCACTAATCCTTCAAAAACATTTGCTTATTTTTTTTAAATGTTTACGATGACAACTCTGGACATTCTTGTTATCCAGATAAATGTTTACATCTTTTTTTTTAATCCTGCTAAGCTCTTGGACTCAATGGTATTTTGTGGTTATGAGTTCTGCAAGCTAATTGTGTGTTTTGTGTTTCCAAATCTCCATTGCTCCTAGAAAAAGTAAGATTGAGGTCAGGAATTAACTGTACAACCTCAGACAATTCTGGGTGAGACTAACTTCCATGGCCCTTTTACTCAGTAAAACACTGGCAGGCAATTTATTGCCCTTCTCGCTCAGATGATGAGAAGCTCCAGGATGAGATGCTGCTGACAGATAGTACTAAGTCATGTGCTTTTCTCCACAAAAGCTGTCCCAGAACTATTCCAGCAAATGTGCTCTGGGAGTAGCTCTGGGAGCAGGACAGTTTCTCACAACACGTATGTTAATCAGAGGTCTGACACTGACTTACACGTGTCAAGAGCACTCCATAGGTCTGCTTTAGGAAAGCAAACTTTGAATGGGTCAGCAGTAGAATGTAGCAACTATACCCTCCTGTAGTCTTCAAAAAATCACATTGAATCTGCATGGTTGCACAAGCTGAAGAAGGTGATAGCTGAGTGGCTTCACAGCTCATCTCCTTACCTTGGTTCATACTGTCAGACATTGGGGCCAGTGTGGTACGGTACACATTGTGTATGTTGGCAGTTTTGTTCCAGTCCCGTTTTCCCCTCTGAACAGATTTTGCCTCAGTTCTTGAAAAGTATCGAGAACACAGACAGGATGATGATAGTGGTGTATGAAATTTGTGGCCACATCAGCATGTAGATGCACATCATCTTTTGAAAACACTGCATGTGCAGAATTCTTCTTGTCCAGAGTGTTCTACATTATACAGAGTTGTCTTGATACAGAACATATCTGTTTACTTATATTTTGATTTTACTTCAATTATGCAATGCTGGGGAGGGGTGGCCATCAGAAACAGACTGGAAAGACAGAGAGCTCAGCTCCCTGGCATATTTGTCAGCTATATTAGTGGCTATAATGCCACTAATGTTTTTTTGCTCTTTCTCTCTCTAGTTTTTACTCTACTTGTAGTTACTTATTTTGTGTTTTTTGCTCTGGCACTGTAAGTCATTATACTCTAAAATACCTGAGAGTTTGGGACCTGACTGGATTCTTTCTATCTGGCTATATTCTCTCTAGCTGCGCGCTGCTGCTGCTTCCACCAATACTAGTTTGAATTACTTTCTCATTACCATTTGATCTGACTGACTATGTACAGTAGATCCTTAAATGGAGGCATACATAAATTCTCATCTCCTGTAGTTTTTTTAAAAGTATTATTTACATAATCAAGTGGTGATCCACAGAGAGACTAGAGGATACACTTGCTAGCAGCTGCTGCATATTCCTTTTTCACCATCAGTGATTTGATTTCTTGTGTATATTATTGCTGTGTATATAACTGTAGGAAATTGGGGCACCAGTGCTGGGCATGCCCACTGAAATCAGCACACACTTGTAGGGGACTCTGGAGTTCTGGTGGTTGTACACTGGTTAGAGCCAGTTGCCTAAACTGTACCTCCCTATGTCTTCAATCTATGGATCCTGTTGGGATTAACCTACACTTTCTCACCACTCTGAGGTTAGCAAAAGTCCGTTGGTCGGTGTACAGTGTATAGTTCTTCCCCAAGTCCTCCCACACTAAAAACCAGCTCACCTTTGTGCCGTAGTGGAAGCAGCCGCAACTAGTGTCAGACATATTTTTATGCTTTGGGTTTCAGGAGAGACGACAGGATCAGGCCTTTCACCCACTATATGCTCCTGTTGGCATCTCCTCTGACATATCACTCTGAATAACTTCCTGCAAATCTACAAACTGCTGCAAGAACAAACTAAAATTAAAACCACTGTCCTCCCATATCTATAAAATGACTTCCTGTCTCCCTCAAGCGCAACCCACTATGTGTCATTCAAAGATGTATAGAGGTCCACTTCCGGTTTTGATATAAACCAAACTATAATCCATAGGCAGTGTATGGAGCTTAAGTAAAACACGGTGTGAGAAGATAGTTGTCTCATTTGGATTCAAATTAATTTGAAGCTTTAAGCAAAGGTAAAAGGGTATAAAAAGCCACACAGGTCAGAACTGAAGAAAAAGTTTGTTGGGACCAGTGCAAACAGAAACAGCCAATGTTCATGAAGCTCTAATTTCGTTTTAACTGCTGGATCAGGCAAAAACTGAAGATGAGGGAACACAGAAAAATACAGACCATGTACAGTTGTTTTTTGTATAAATGTTTCCTTTTCCAAAGTTGGTTCAAGGTGGTCCTCCTCCTGAGTAGAACTATTCAGGGAATACATTCCTAAAGGACTACATTCCCAAGATGCATCATACTACTCAGAATTTGTCAATGTTGTTACTCTTTCTTTAAAAAAACAAAACAAAACAGTGGACTTAATGCTAAAATGACCTTGGAAACGAGGGATTTTGTAATTAAGGATTTTATCCTAAATTAGTTACTGCTGCTTCCTTTCCCATTCCTTTTGGAATACTACAGCAGTGTATCTGTTCTACATACAAAAATTACACCTTTCCATCAGGACTACAGTGTTCATTTCTCTGATCTGCAGTGATGCAGAGTGGAAGACTAAAGGACTGAACTCCTAGACATGAGGCAATTCCAAAAGCCATACTCTATGTTCTGATTAGAAGATTCAACTTTGCCATTCCTTTTGCGCTCTTCTGGTTTGCTGGATGACATGAAATCAAGATCAATAGTTGAGCTAAACAAATAATTAGAAATAGTACTTAAATGGATAGCAAGTAGATGTGGTTTACCTATACTCTCATTCAGCCTCAAGCATTACACAGACTAAACCCCCAAACAATGAATTCTTATCCATGTGGGTTGATAGAAAGGGGCTCAGGACACCAGAAAGTTGCTTATATATAAAAGAGACAAGAATTAACTGATGGCATCCCAAAAGCTTCCACTTATCATAAATTAAAATACAATATTGTTTAAGCAAAGGTTTTGTTTCGTCAGAACTTGTTAGACAAGTTTATTGTTGTAGCTGATTCAGGTGATGACTTGTACTCTTCCTGAAATATTGTGTTACTGGGATTACTTCCACCTCAGGCAGGTGCCTGAGGCTCTGGGGTTTTTGTTACTTTAGCACTGAGATTAGGATTTGGTATTATCCTCTAGCTGAGTACAATAAGTATAATGCAAATGATGATACTGTTAGTGTTTCTTGTACTGCAGGTTGCTACACATTATAGGCAGTTACACCTAGTTGTGCCAACATCTTGCGGTTGAAGTATTTTCTCTTATCTTCTTTCTCACTTCACAGTTTTTATTGGTATGATGATTTTTCCCAGCACCTCCCTTTCATCCAGAAGATCTGACTTTAAAGTGCCAAAGGTGTTCCCAAGTATGGTAACTTGGTTCTGTAATGAAGTAACCTCTGCAGCCTGTCCCAGAAACCTGGGTCACTTAGGCTAAAAACTTTACTGGAAACCCTTTTTTTCTTCCTGGCAACTGCTCTTGATGTGCACACCCCTCCAGGAATCCATGGCTTGTTCTTGTGTCTTCCTTCTCTGCTGAGTGGTACCTTTAATCATTGCAGTGAGAAACTTAGATATGAGACCAAAACAAAGCTGAGGAGAAAGAGAGAGGGTCTGAGGCATTTATCTCATAACTGGAAGTAAATGATGTGAGAATAGATTAAAAGGACTAAATATGTACATCTTGGATAAGAAACAACTATGGGGTGCATGAGATAAATCTGATATTTGAGGAATATGAAAAACAAGGAGAGAGGAATTTAACATAATGAAATGGGGTATAAATAATAATGTGGTGAAATTAATGAAGAGAAATTTTAAGTTGAATATTGGGGGAAAATGTATCAAAAAGTACTAGTGGCACATTTAAATCTAGGGACAAAAATTGGCTAATAGAGGTACAGTCCTGTGCTGACAGATGGTGTAGATGGTTCTTTCTATCTCTGAAGTCTACGTTGCATAATAGGTTGTACTGTCTCCTTTCACATACTTTTACCCTTCTCAGATGGGAATCACTATTGCCTGACAGGGCTCACCAGCAGGAACACCACATCATCCTCCAGGTTGTACAAGGTTTCCTTCAGATCATTCGCGCTGAAACCAGCTCATAGTGTCTCCCAAAGCAAAGCATGGTGGGTCCCCACCTTCTGCCCTTCCTTTTTCCCGTTTTCTGTTGCCCCAGGGAAGCCAAAGACCTTTTTAAACAAAAACATAAAGCTGCTTCAGGTGCATACACTTTCCCTGTTTCACATTGTTTCCTCTTTGTTACTCACCATATGTCTGTCACCAAGTAAAGATTATTGTGAAAAATGGTGGCTGTGCAATGACTTGAGAGAGTGAGGGAGAGAAAGCAAGCCTGGTGTGGTAGCTGAAGTCCATTAGCGAGAGTCAGTATATCTTCAGCCAAGATAAATAACATTCAGCTTTTCTGTGCCCGGCTTAGAGAGATGAAATCTGATGTGGTAGGCTTTTTATTTATTGTCCAAAAATAATTGTTACACACTCCATCTGAAATATCCTTTCAGTTTTAAAAAAACCACCTTGAGCAGATAACTCACTGGGCTGGAGAATACTGAGACAGTGTTTGTGATTATCAAAGTGTGTGTCAGGAAATTTGGTTTAGAAAGGTGCAGTAAGCTGCTTTTTCTTTCATTTTCTCTGCACTTAATCTGTGTCTAGCATTTTTGTTAAACTACTGTTTAACATTTTTATCTGATACTTCCTCCACCTGTATTTTTATACTCTGAAGGAAGGAGTAGTTATTTGATCAAGTATCACGGAGTAGGGGAGGCGAGGGAACAGAGAAATAAAGCCTTTCATGATAGCATGTAAGAAGATACAGTGATGTCTGCATGTAATAACTATGTCAGGTAGCCAGTGTGTGGCCTTAAGGCTGAATGTGGCTCATTGGAGTTCAAGAATGTGGCCCTCAGCTGCCGTCATCTTTACTATGGAGATGCATCCACAGGGACACACTCTTCATCCAAGAGGAATTCCACTCTGCGAAAGTTGGAGCCTTAGATCTAAGAACAAGATGAATCTCACGGCATAATGGGACTAGTATTGTCAGCATCCTATACCTCTACATTAAAGATGAAGGCAGCTCCATTTTGTGCAAATTATATGTGGTCATCATACATCTGGCAAGAAGCTAGTGCAGTCTTCTTTTGGACAAAGAACACTGTAGAGAACAGTCCTGAACAGGGTGTGGACTAGATGTCTTCACCTATTTTACAACCATAATTTCTATTATTTTGTGACGATAAATTTGTATTTACATTTTAAAATAATTATTATATACTCGGCCCTTATTGTATGTATATATATCTTTGTTCTTCCCCTTCCTTTCCAAAAATAATACATAAAAACATAATGTATCCATAGTACAGATTATCACTATGGCCTGTCAATTAAATTCTAACATAGATTATCTTGTTAGAAGGTAGATATAGTGTGAAAGTCATTGCATATTTCACAGCACTTAGAATGAAAAACAACACAACTACTCTGCACTGTGTGTGTACTCCTGGAATTAAAAAATATTGAAATGGATTTCTTTAAAAAAATGTGAATAATAAAATTTCTGTCAAGCTTAGCATCATGTTTCAAGTTGGAAGAAGTTTATTTTCATATAAGTGATGATCCCAAGTCATAAGTTATGAACCTAAGAAAATAGGGGGATATTACGAAAATATTTCCAGACCCTTAACTGTAGATAAGAATTTTGTATGTGTTGTGTATTGCGTTACTTTACTGTATTTTAATTCCATATAGAGTGATATTCAGGGCAAGTCACTTTTAGTAAAATAAAAATGCAGGAGGATTCATGCAGTAGTTACTTCTGATTTAGCATTTAGAATAGGTTTTATTAAAAAGGCAATGAATATGTTCAGTTGATGTACCAATGCTTAGATCACTGTAAGTTTGAGATTTCATTTAATAGGAGCAGTCTCCATTGTGTGACTGCAGGAGAGGCAGGGGACTGCCTGATTTCTACATGGGGTCAGAAGCAGGTTAGAAGTCTTGCCCTTTCCAGTCTTCTACCAAGCCTAATTAACGTATACCATGGCTAGTGCTGTAATTGCGATGCATGTGGCTTCTGGCATCTGGAACCATGACGAGCCTGAATTGAAACGCTGTTGGAGGGAAAGTTAGTCAGGGTTGTGTGGAGCATACAGTAATACAAGCAATAGGTCTGTTGTTTCATCATTCAAGTGACAAGCTTTTTATTGTGTTATAAATGAGTAAATTGTGCAAAGTACCTTCTTAGACCAAAAGAAAATCCTAATGGGAAGGAAAAAGTCTTACTAACAGATTTTCTAGGCTTTGTCTATTTTAAACATGTTTACCCCACTACATCCTTTCAACCAGAATGGTGGAGGAAAAGTGGGAGCCACATTTCTGTTATCTTATGCCAAAGTCTCTCCTTGATCTATCATGAAACCCTTGGATGCACCTGAAATGTTTGGGAGGCCTAAGATGTATGTCTGAGTGTTACAATACACTGCTTGTGTCTGGAATTGGCACCTCTTGTAGCTCTGTCTGATGGAACAGATTTGATGGTCACAACTTCATGGCATGATATCTAGCACGTCACCACAGAATGTCTTGTGGTTTAGGTTTTTGGGGGAATTTTTTTTTTTTTTTGGCATACGGTTATTGCATTATATCATAAAATCCAGTGCTACAACACAACATCATAGTGTGATGACTTTGCAGGCCCCCAACATAATATCTTCTTCTGGGATATGGGAAGGCATGATAACCCTGAGAAAAGCCCAAACAATCCTGCCTGGGTGACCATCTTCACAAAGACTATAGATCCCAGCTTGTGATATTCCAGGCTGATCTGAGCAGTGGGTGACACTATATTCAAGATGGGGCAGCTGCAATAAGGTTTATTTTATTGAATTTAGATGAAATCCTTGGGCTCTTGGCACGTTGCCTATAAAGCCCTGGGTTGTACCAAGCTAGAAGGCCACTCTAAAGACTATTTTCCTCTCCTTATTGAAAACTGGTGTCAAGATTGGTGGGTAGAGGAGCCATTAATGCACATAAAACTTTGCCTTACATCTAATCTCAGTATGGTTAATTTTAAAACCCATCCCCTTCCTTTGTACTTTGGTTTTTCTGCTTTAGTGTGAACAGTCTCATCTAATGAGAGAGCATGAAGACGTACAGGAGCGAACAACACTACGCTATGAGGAACGAATCACGGAGCTTCACAGCATTATCGCTGAATTAAATAAGAAGATTGACCGACTACAAGGAACAACAATAAGGTATTGCAACTCCTATGGAAGTCTGGGCAAAATTCAGAAGCGGTATACACGGTGGTGTACAATATACATTGGGTGTGAGTTAATCATAAAAGTGGTGTGGCTAGACTTGCTATGATTGAGGTTCAGTGAGTGTGCAAAATTAGTGTAACATGCATACTAGGGGATTGGAAACTGGGCAGGTGTAGCAGGAAAAGCAACTGATAGGAGGGTGTAAGGCAAAGTAATCCACTCCCCATTCCCATTTTTATCTTTCTCCTATGCTATCCACAACACAACCAAGACTAAATTAAACCCATTATAGAGGTGCAACTGAAATTGGCTTCAAGAGTTGCGCCTGCTTTCTCCAGCAATTCCCATAAAATACAAAATTGGTGCAAATCGAACTAGTGTTGCATACTCACTGAATGTAAAAATTTGGACACTCCTCTTTTAAGACATTACTCAGTAAGTTCCAACTATTTCTTCTTGTAAGTTCTAGATTTCACCAAAGAGGAACATTCTTTTATTTATCTGTCCATATCAGCTGTTCTTAGCTTACTGCGAGGCAAAGGCCTTTTGCCGTTACTTCGTGAAGGAGTTTGCTGGGACCTCACAATACTTTTCAGCTCTCAAGCTTATTGGGACATGAACTCCTCAATCCTTGGCCAGTTGGGGATTTTAAACCAAAACACCAACTTTGAAAGTAAAGAGTTAACATCTCTATAGGTCGGGGTAGGCAACCTATGGCACGCGTGCCAAAGACGGCATGCGACCTGATTTTCAGTGGCACTCACACTGCGCGGGTCCTGGCCACCGGTCCGGGGGCTCTGGATTTTAATTTAATTTTAAATGAAGCTTCTTAAACATTTTAAAAACCTTATTTACTTTACATACAACAATAGTTTAGTTATATATTATAGACTTATAGAAAGAGACCTTCTAAAAACGTTAAAATGTATTACTGGCACGCGAAACCTTAAATTAGAGTGAATAGATGAAGACTCGGCACACCGCTTCTGAAAGGCTGCCGACCCCTGCTATAGGTTATACTTACTTAAAATTCTTCCCATGTAGCACTGTGGGGTTTTCTGGCTTATTTTCCTGCCTGTTTTTCAGTAATGGCTGTTTCGTTTTTTCATCTCACTAAAGTCTATATGGCCATCAAGCCAGGAGCTCTTTTGTTTAAAGTATATGCCCAGGAAAATATTTTTGTGTGAAAGAGTAAACTCGTGTATCTTAAATTACAGAAGATAATGATATCCATATATTGTAATTACAGCATATAATTATAATTGCATTGCATTAATATTATATGAATAGGTAAATAGTGCAAGTTCTGCTGTAGGTAAAGATGCTAGGGTGTGCATGCCCCTGAAGGCATTTTGGCCTTCAGGGGCATGCACAGTTCTGCTACTGTGATAGAGCACTTAGGCACAACCTCTCCCCACCCACGACAGCTTTGGCATTCCACATTAGAGTACTTTGTGCTCAGATCCCTAGACAACACTTCTGTCCACTTATATTTGAGTTCATTCTGCTGTAATATAATAATAAATATTTGTAAGTGAATAATTAATTCTTATTTTGCTTTCCTTTAATGGTCATTGTAGCTAGTTTTTTCTCACAGACCAATACATTAAAAAAAAAAAACAAAAAACCTGTGAACAAGGTGAGCTTAGAGAGCTTCCGTTCAGCTTCTAAACACAGTGGAAAGAAAGAAAATTAATTCTTCGCTCCTGTCATTTCCATACTTTCCTGTAACAACATGTCAGGCTTCTGCTCTTGCCCCACTATGTTAGCAGGTGTTGGAACCCTGCAGAAATGTCAGTTAATTATTGCTGGCTTCATTGGGACAGGTGTAGACTCCGACCTGAATATAAGGGACGTTGGTGTGGGCTGGGACAAAGAGATTCTAAGAGAAAGGTCCTAGAAGCAACTAAGGCAATGTCTGCACTACCGCGGTAAGTTGACCTACGCTACGCAACTCCAGCTACGTGAATAACGTAGCTGGAGTCGATGTACCTTAGGTCGAGTTACCTTGGGGTCTACACTGTGGGGGGGGTCGCTCCCGTCAACTCTACCTTACTCTTCTCATCAGGGGTAGAGTACAGAGGTCGACTGGAGAGCGATCTGCCCTCGATTTAGTGGGTCTTCACTAGACTTCACTAGAATTGACTGCCGGTGGATCGATCTCAGAGTGTCAATCCTGGCTGTAGTGTAGATGTAGCCTAAGTCTGGGGAAAAGACTTAGGCCTTGTCTACATTACACAGTTTTGTCTGCAAAGGCTGCCTTTTGCTGACAAAACAGTGGAGGTGTAGACACTACAATACTAGTCTTGGTGGCAAAACCAAACCACCTGAACGAGAGGCATAGAGAGCTTTTTGCGGCAAAGTTAAAGTGACAAAGCGTCAGTGTAGACACTGCCATTTGTTATGTCAACTTAACTGGCCTCCCCCAGTATCCCACAATGCCTGCCATGACCACTCTACTCATTGTTTTGAACTCAGCTGCCCTGCATCTAGCTATGCAGGCATGTGCCCCTCCCCTTTCAAAGCTCTGGGAAGCTTTAATATTCCTCAGCCTGGAGAGCTCACAGAGCTGCTGAGGATGCTGCTCCCTGTAACTGCGGCGGCTGTGGGAGAAATCAGAGGGAATTGGAACCATTAATGTGGAATGTTGTTCTCCCTTTGGGTTATATATAGGGTGACCAGATGTCCCAATTTTATAGGGACCGTCCCGATTTTGGGGTCTTTTTCTTATATAAGCTCCTATTATCCCCCACCCCCATCCCGATTTTTCACATTTGCTGTCTGGTCACCCTAGTTATAGATTTTTTTTTCTGAGAATTACTGACACAGGTTTAGCCTCCAAATCCATACAGAGTACAACCCTGGCACTTCAGCGCATATACAACGTCCATGGATGTCAGGCTTCTGCTTTGCATGCTTGATGTAAGTAAAAGCATCTCGGATCACATTCTCCAAAAATACCTTTAGCATTCCCTGAATCTCCTCGTAAATGAGATCTGAAATGCACTTCACGCCCCCACAACGAGTCAAACGGCGAATAGCTGGCTTCATAATACCCTGGGTATTGTCCCTCAGTACCTTCCTTTGGTGCTTAGCGCCTCCTTTTCTGATACCCTTACCTCCCTTACCATGTCCAGACATGTTCGCTGGGTTACAGACAGAGCAGCCTGCTGCTGGGGGGTGTGGGGTGTGGAGAGACTGCTCCAGCCGCTGTCTGAACTTCAGAGACAGCACGCCCACACACTCACTCTCCCCAACACACACACTGTCTCTGACATATACGCCACCCCACACACACAGTGTCTCTCATACTTCCCCAACATACACAGTGTTTCTGTCTCTCCCCAACACACACACACTCTCCCCTCCTCCACCCCACACTTCAGTTGAACAGCAGCTGGCAATCTAGTAGGATGCCCATGGAACGATGCGATTGAGAAACCCGCATCATGTGACACTATACCTGCCCCATGAGGCATTGCAAACCCTTCCGAAAGCACCCTACGGCCAGTTACACAGCAGGATAGCTACGCACAGTGCACTGCTCTCTGTTGATGCAAGAGCTGCTAATGTGGATGCGCTCTGTCCACACAAGGAGCACAGTGTAGACATGCAACAGTGATTTACTTTAAGTGGCATAACTTTTGTTGGCAAAACTCTATAGTGTAGACATAGTCTTAGTTTAGGGCTTCATGTAGTTCTATTTTGCTATTACTTTTTTGTTCATAAAAAAACCTCAGGAGTGGGGATTTTTTTACCATGAGTGTCTCTTACGCTTCCAAATGTGCATGGAAAGATGAGACATTACTTGTGAAATCGCAAGATTGTCAGGCCATCATTTGGAAAGTGGTTACTTAAATCTGCTGAATCACAGGGCAAAGAAATGCATCTCCCTGGTGCTGCCATGGAAAAGCTGTACAGCATCTGTACCTTATAGCTGACGTAGTGTAGAAAGGCTTGATTTACTGTTGCTTTATGCCATTCTTAATGCTTCCTTTTAAATAAACCATAATATTATGTAGATGGTCAAGAGAAACCAAAGTTACACAGTAAATTTGATCTTCTAGTTTAGAGTCTTTAAATTGATGTCATTGTTTTGAGGTTAGCAATGCCTGAGCAGAACAAGATTTTCAGTCTAAACAAACAATTGCAACAGATTTAAGAGAGTTTGACAGATTGCATAAGCTAATTTATATTTTCCATTTAGAAGAGATTGCTTTTTTTCAGACACTTTGGAAGGTGAGGGCGAATGGGTTCAGGAAGTTGCAGAATTATGGCTCACGCATTGTTCAGCAAGCCCAACTGCAGAGATGTCAGATCAAGTGCCGTGGCTGCACCTCTTCTCAGACATATACAAAGTGTTGTTCTTAGTAGTAGTTATTGTATGAAATATTTTTAGATGTTTCCAATAAACTTCTGGATTTGACAAGATTTGACCTTTATAGGGTACAGCAAGTTCCAGATGCATGGCCACATGAAGCTAGCTGTTGATATTGCATTATGTTCTGCCAACACTCCTGATGCAAATGAAGTCACAGCGGTTATGGGATCAAGCCAACAATCATTCCTAATGGTCTCATCTCACTGATGTTGCTGTAGTTCGAGACAGCTCAGCTGGCTTGGGAATCCAACCAAAAAAAGAAGAAACTGTGAAATACAGCTGCAACCAATTTGGTATTTGATCTGGAAGAGAGCTGTCTGAACTCATATAATGTTGAGCTCTGCTTAGTTTCTGAAAGGGGGCTGATCTATCATTTACCCACCACCAGATCATAAGAAATAGTTTGTAATTTGAGGGAAGAAGAGCAGTTAAGAAGGTAGCTTGCTGAGAGAGACAATACATTTCTTTCTTATATAGTCAAGAATAGAAATGTTGGCTCTGTTTGCATTATCTAAGAGTTTCTCAAACAGTGAGGCTTTAGTGGGGTCCTAAGAAATCCAAGGCTCAGATGGGAGACTACCCTGTTTAAAACTTTGCTAAGAACACAAGAGCAGTGTTTCAAACTCTAATCTTTCTTTCTTGTAGTGTGAATGTAGTTTGGTCAAATTTGCAAAACTGAAGTAACAGGTTTAAGTCAAATTCAGAGTAAGGTTGTTTCACCTGAAACTCTTTGTATATTTATGCAGGAAAGATGCAGAATATGCTTTCGATACTCTTCAATGTGAATTTACTTCACTGCAGCATCATAGCACTTGAACCCCTGTTACCTGCCATTTGGAAGTAGGCTGGTAAAATTATCACCAGCCTCTATTCCTTCCATTCACAGAAGACTTTGATACATTCATTAACTCTCTTTTCCTGGACTGCTCCCCATCACTGGTTTGCACAAGTCACAAAAAGGCAAAGCCAGTCAAATGGGTAGGTCCACATGAAGCAGCAGTATCAGTGTATTAAAAACACATACGTATTAAGGTGTGTCAGTTACACCCCAACAAGATTAACCTCTCAAGAACAAAGAAGGTCCCACACTAAATGATAAAACATTAGATAATACTGTATCTGTTTAGAAAGTGAATGTTACTGGACAAGATAAGTTCATCCTAACACAAGATTTTATTTATTTTTTAATCATGGCTTCAGTAAGGAAATGCATTTGTCATGCAATGATACAAAAATAAATCTTGCCATGTGATTGAGAACGGAATCAGCTACAGTCTTTCCAGTTTGTCTGTGAGTTCAGCAAAAGAATGGGAGAGGGGAGAGAGAGAGTGAGTTGTCTTTCATTTCAATGCTGAAATAGGTCTGTGCAGCTTATGGACTTTCTTGCCTGCTGGTGTCTGCTTAGGATTCTTAGCAGCTGTCAAAAGACATACAATTTAACCAGTCAACCATTTGTAACTAAATGCTGTGCAGCCATGAATTCTATGGCATTACCCAACAGAAAATTCATACAGAAATATGGGTCACCTAGAAACCCAGGAGGAAAAAGGGGAGACAGAATAGATGGTATAGTGGACAGCATCATCAACATTAATAATGGTTGGCACTCATAGAGTGCCTTTTATCTGAGGATCTCTGTGTTTTACAAAACATTCATTAAAATATAATGAAAGTTGTAAAATGGCCAACACCTACTGTGGTGAAACCATTCTCTGTTTGAAGCTATGAGAGAATCTCATACCTTGACAACACCCCACCAGAATTCCTTAATGGGGAGGAGGAAGTGCTGAGAGTTTGCCATTTTGATCATTACTAAGCAAGCTTTAAAACAGTTTTGTAACACTGGAGCAACACAAAACTGGTTCATTGCACAGGAGGATCTGGCCCAGTACCTTTTGTTACTTTTCAATCCATTTTTAAACATTCTGTTTTAGTGTGTAGCTATTATACCTCTAAGTCCTATTGAAATCAGCACCGCTTTTGTGTTCTGGAAGGGAAGGGAAGAGGATGGAAGAGAGAACTAGAAAACCCCTGTTTTCAAAAATCAGCCCCTTAGTTGCGTATACAGAATATAAGCATATATAAAAGATGCTGCACTGATTGGTGCTCTTCAAATACCTAGGGTAGAAAAGGTAACTTGCACATGTAAAATATGCTGTTATGTGTACAAAGTGGGTAATTTACCATTTGCATTCATAGTTACCTATTTTGAATGTGCAGTTACATGTTTGTAAAGAGGCATGTTTTGCATGCATGTTTCAAGGCAAATTTTGGAAAATTTGGCTCAAACAACCAAACATAAAATTGTCAATCTTAGCCATTGTCATTTAAACAAGAAAACTAGTCTAAGTCTGAAAGTGTTAGCATGTGTATACAAGCTGTTGGTTTTATGATCAGGTCAGCCTGTCATCCATTCATGGAGGAGATTCACATTTTAAAATTAATCACTAATTGCAAAGCAGGTTGATGTATAAATGAACAAACAAATTACCCCTTTGACCAAAAGAAAAAGCAACTCTTTGAGCACTTAGTAATTGTTTTTGTCTAAAGCTAATTATCATTGGCTTGTGCTGTGCCTAATAATTAACTTATCCATAGAACATTAACCCACATTTATGTGTCTTCAGTAGCCTGTATTTTAATTCATGCTATTTCTGGTTTGGTTCTCACACTTGCTTTAAATATGTATTGCCCATCGCTTTAAATATGTATTGCCCATCACCTAAAATACCTTGCTTTGATCAAAAACTTAATTTTAACCTTATAATCTTAATTTTTGTATAATAGTTGCTAAGTGCTTGTGATAAAGATGTAACTTTCTGTAGTGAGCTGAGTTGCCTTTCAGGGTTAGAAAAGTATGATCATTCCTATTAAAACTACAACAGGTAAACTAAGGAAATCCTGCTTGGCAAACAAGCTGGAATTTTTCTTATGAGTTGGCCTGTTTCACAGACAGCAGCCTTTCCTTCGGTCAGTGTAGTGATACGTATGGATCATCTTCCTTTCAGCTATTTTGCCCGACAGACATTGTCAAACCTTAGGGCTAATTCCTGCAAGGTACTGAGAGCTCTCGACTCCCGCTGACCTCAATGGAAGTGGAAAGTGCTCATTACTCTGCAGAACTACCCCCTTAGACAACAGGCTTCCCCCCAGCTGGAGGTGCCCTCACAGTTCTGTGCTCTCCCTCCCTCACCAAAGAACTCCATTCCTGCTCTATGCTTCCTCCCCACCCTAAAATCATCCACCTTTCTGCTGAAACAGCAGCAAAATAAACCTCTACAAAATACATAGCTTAATGAGTAGCCAAATAGGGGTACAGTAAATTCATTCATCAAAAGTTTTTGGTTTGTTGTTTCTGTGCCTATGCTACTGATGTTTTTCCTGCTGGTTAAAATGTACATATCTGAAAGTGACAAAATAATAATTACAAAAACTGAAGCTGATTAAAAAAATCAGGTCTTCCTGAATGTCATTTTTTGCAATTGGATTAGCAAATGGATTAAAAAAGAAAAGAAACATTTTAAAGTGCTTCATTGGGCAATGTGATCTCACATTCCACTGATGTCCTTATCTACTTTTCCCCATTCCTTGAACTTTACATGTGAACTTAGGAGAAAAGACTCTTTATAAATCTCACTACTTCAGGTAATGCCCAATAGCGCTCAAACATTTTTGAAGGAACCCACTTGACAAATAACAGTTAAAGCATGTAATATGCAAGGGTTTGGTTCTCCAGTAACTCCAGCAGTTCACTGCCATTCTAATTAATCTGTACATTATCTTCCAATAGATTTCAAATGAAAACCCACTTGGCAACAGGAGAATTTAGAGCGAGAGAGAGAGACACACACACTTAATCTGGCAATACATTTTCTTATAGTGAACATTAGTCTGGAATGATCACAAGAACTTCGGTGAAACTTCAAAATACAGAAATGTGAGCCAGATGCTACTCACCACATAACTGGCAGTTGAGAGTACAATGCAGAAAGTCAGTTTCTTTTATGGGAAACAGACCCTGGTCTATTTGATAGTCTTGTTGAGCTGGAGAAAGTTTGTTGTCCAGTATGTACCCTACTTATTGTGACTACAGGACTGAAAGGCATGCTGTAGAGTTGCTTATTCCTTCAATAATATTTTTTTTCTTGTGCCTCTCCCCCAGGGAGGAAGATGAATATTCCGAACTACGATCAGAGCTCAGCCAGAGCCAACATGAGGCTAACGAAGATTCACGCAGCATGGACCAGGATCAGACTTCTGTTTCAGTACCAGAGAACCAGTCCACTATGGTCACTGCTGACATGGGTTAGTGATTTTCTGAATAGACAGGATGTCTCCTACTAGTAGAAAGCCATTGTAGCCTTTAAAATACTGATCAGAATGCTCAGAGGGGAAAGAAAATAAATCATCCAGGCCTTGTTAATCAAACCAAAGATGTTGAGGAATTCTCTAGGAGAATAAACAGGAGCATTTAAAATAATCTCAGAACCTTGCTCCCAGGCCATAAGAGCTAGAATAGCTGCAGAGGAAGAACAGAAAATGAGCTTTTCACGAAGAACTGAAGCACCTAAATGAGTGCCCTTTGGGAAAGGGGAAAATGAAGGGAACGCACACACACTTACCCTCCTCTAGAATAGTATACATGTTCTGACTTGACCATGTAATTGGCTGATTAATTGGATTGATTTTTTTTTTTAAATCCTGTTCCTGTTTTGTTATTTTACCAAATAGCAAAAACATTTTATTTATAAGTCACTGAAGATTGTTTTAAATGCTGCTAGTTTATTTAACTATAAAAGGTTGATGGTTGGAAATTGCGGAGATGAAATTAAGAGAGGCATCTAGAGACATTAATAAATGGCAGAGTAATGTGCTGCTGTTAAACTTCTCTCTCCAGGCCATGACTTTTAAGACTTGTTGCTTTCTGAGAGCCATTAATTTATGTACAGGTAGCAAGTTTCTAAATGACACTAATCTGTGCTGTGGAGTGTTAAGGAAGGTTCTTTATGGCAAAGAGTCCAGTAATTATATTGTTTTTCGGATGTGCTCAGACAGGGGATTTCAAAGCTGAAATTAAAGGGTAGTTAGTACTAGCTATAGAGATCCAGTTCTCAGACTCCAGCAATAAAGACGTTCAGTAGTGGGGTACATAGACACACTGCTTTTTGCAGGCTTGGGAGCATCATTGATATCCATATTAGAGGGGAAATGTCTGTCTCACTGGATCAGATTCTGTTCTCATTCACATCAGTGTGAATCAGGGATATATCCTTGGCTGTAGTGTAGTTCCCCCTTCCTTCTGTCAGGTATTTATTAGATGCTGATCACCACAATGCCTAGACGCCAGCGTGCCTTGGGAAAGTCATGATGCACTGGATCTTGATGAAAAAGTTGCACTAAATCCGAAGTCCAATATGACTGATCCAAGAAGAGACAAAGATCAAAATATCACAGAGATGTTTTCTAAGTACTTTTATTACAGTCATACAGAGGGTCAAATTCTGTCCTCAGATAAATCTTTCTCACTCTCACTGAAGTCAGTAAAAATTCAGCTGATTTTTAATGGCAATTGTGCCTCTCTGAGGGCAATGTTTGTGTTCCAGTGAAGACTCAGTTAACAATATATTTTTATTTCAGTCTTTTCTTTTGCAATAGCTTAGCAGACACCAGTTGTGCCCTGATCTCTCTTTCGAGAGAGGCAAACTCCTTCCTCTTCCCCATTATAACTTTAAGCTTTATCTCAGATGGAAGGGGGAATCTTGTTTGCCATCTCCAAAAAGAACGAGGATCCCTCTTAAACACAGAAGGACTCTGTGACACATCACCTATTATACAGTGGATGGGTTGTTGTTGGTATCTGAATTCCTGTGACTAATCCACCACTGAGAAAATATGCAGATTTACTGAGTAAAGGGGGTGGTAGTTTGTTCAAGTCTTCTAAACCTTCCTGCAAAGGAAGGCTTAATTCAGGGAGTCTGTGACCCACTCTTGCTAATATTGGACAGAAGGGGATTAATTTCGGTGGAGGTACATCAGGGATGAATTTGACCCAAATAATTGAGACCTCAATACATGGGTTTCCCAAGACAAGTTTGTAGTTGCTGACTGAAAACTGAGGACAAAAAGAACATGTGGCTTTTCTTGAGAGAGGGACTTGTGTTTGTTATGGTTTTGTGGTTGAGTTTTTCTATTTTCAATAATTCATGTGCTAAACTGATGAATGTACGTTTTTGGATATGTGCCTGAATGTCACAGTAGATTTTATTCTTAATGGAAAAAATAAACAAGACAAGAGGCTTAGTCTCTAAACTTGGTATTTTGGTGAAACATATGAGGTCAGATAGTTTAACTTGACACCAAGAACTAGAGTCAGGACTGACATACACAACCGTATTGACTTCAGAAGGATTGTATGGAGTGTAAACGAACACTGAATCTGGCCCTGAGCTAAAACATTTAGTTTCTTTTATAGTGGGATTCTTATGTTTAGAGTGTCTTTTCTCTCTCACTTACTCAGTGAGAGCAGAAATTATGTCCTATATGTACATCAGTACTCTAGTGTAGACTGGCTACCGTTTCAGCCAATCAGAACTATAGATTAGAAGAATGGTATTATCAGGGTTGTAACGGGTTCGGTCACAGAGACCCCCTTGGGACTGTCACCTGACGTGCTGGAATTACCTCTGAGCCTGTTTTCCCTGATGGCTTGGGACTCCAGAACCCTGCCTTGTTGAGCCAGACATGCTAGTCTGCTGCAACACAGACCTAGGTCTGAACCACGCCCCCAAAGCTGCAGGCTTTAACTGAAAACCACTCAGCAGGTTACCTATCTCCAGCACACAAGACACCCAGTTCCCAATGGGATTCAAACCCCAAATAAATCTGTTATACTCTGTATATACTCTGTAAAAACAGGGTAAACTCAGAAATTGTCCGCCCTCTATAACACAGGTATTAATCGCTTTCTCTGGGTTAATTAATAAACAAAAGTGATTTATTAAGTATAAAAAGTAGAATTTAAGTGGTTTCAAGTAATAACAGACAGAACAAAGTAAGATACCAAGCAAAATAAAACAAAACACGCAAGTCTAAGCCTAATACAGTAACTCCTCACTTAACGTTGTAGTTATGTTCCTGAAAAATGCAACTTTAAGTGAAACCATGTTAAACGAATCCAATTTTCCCATAAGATTTAATGTAAATGCGGGGTGGTTAGGTTCCAGGGAAATTTTTGGGGGGCAGACAAAAGGCATTATGTACTGTACAGTACTGTACTGTATTGTGGTTGGGAAGTGCCCCTGGCTTACCCCACACAGGCACAGCCCTCTGCAGGCAAGAACACTAGGAAGCACCTTTGCAGCAGCAGCTGCAGCAGCTTCCCCGGAGAAGAATAGGCTTGGACTTTGCCGGGAATGCTCCAGGCCCACCTCTTCCTGTCCTGTCCCCTCTCCACTCCAGGCCCACCTCTTCCCATCCCCACTCCACCTCCTCTCCGGAGCACGCCACATTCTCCCCCCCCCCCCCAAGTCCTAAGTGCCGCCAAACAGCTGTTTGGCAGCGCTTAGGACTTTCTGGGAGAGAGGGGGAGGAGCGGAGACGCAGCTCCCAGAAAATCCTAAGCGCAAAGTGCTGGGAGGGAGGGGGAGGAGCGGAGAAGCCCCGTGTCTCCACTCCTCCCCCTCCCTCCCAGAAAATTCTAAGTGCCTAGGACTTTCTGGGAGGGGGAGGAGCAGAGACATGGCGCTTCCCCGCTCCTGCCCCTCCCTCCCAGAAAGTCCTAAGCACCGCCAAACTGTGGGGGAAGTGCTGGGAGGGAGGGGGAAGGAGGCAGAGAAGCGGAACTTGTGAAATGCTCCCTTGTAAAGTCGCTGCTCTGCCACAGAATCTTACAAGCAGGCAGCCAAACGACGTTATAAGGAAGCATTGCACAACTTTAAACGAGCATGTTCCTAATTGAGCAGGGACGTAACATTGAAACAATGTTAAGCGGGAGGACGTTAAATGAGTTACTGTACATTTAAGAAACTGAATACAGGTAAATCTCACCCTCAGAGATGTTCCAATAAGCTTCTTTCACAGACTAGACTCCTGGTACAGTTCTTGTTAGTTCCAGCTCAGGTGGTAGCTAGGGGATTTCTCATGACTGGCAGCCCCCTTTGTTCTGTTCCACCCCCTTTTATATCTTTGGCACAAGGTGGGAATCCTTTGTCTCTCTCTGGGTATCCCTCCCCTTCATTCTAAATGAAAAAGCACCAGGTTTAAGATGGATTCCAGTACCAGGTGACATGATCACATGTCCTGTGAGACCCCAAGCCTCCATTCTTTCCGGCCTGACTCACAGGAACACAGGATGGCTTACAAGTAAACAGAGCCATTTACAACCAATTGTCCTGGTCAATGGGAGCCATCAAGATTGTAAAAAGAACAGGAGTACTCCTGTTCTTTTTGCGGATACAGACTAACACGGCTGCTACTCTGAAACCTATCAAGATTGTAAACCACCATTAATGGCCCACACTTTGCATAATTACAATAGGACTTCAGAGTAATACTTTATATTTCTAGCTTCAGATACAAGAATGATACATTCAAACAAATAGGATGAACACACTGAGTAGATTATAAACTTTGTAATGATACCTTACAAGAGAACTTTTGCATGAAGCATATTCCGGTTACATCATATTCACACTTATAAACATGTGGAGTGCAACATCACAAGGGTTATCCTCATTATGATTTTCTTTCCAAATGATCTCTTTTAAAAGATTATTTCTCTTGCATTTCTCCTCATCGCCGAAACTCAAATATATTGTATATTAAATAAATACATAGCACTTTCTCCCTTCCCTCTGCCATTTGTCTATTAAGTAAATTGCATCTGTGTGTGAACGAGATGTACCATACATAAGCACCATTATAGGAAATCATTAAAACAGCAATCTTTTAATTCTTGTTGCCACATTTGCAAGCCTGAAACTCTCCATGAGCTTGTGACTGTTGTTGGTCAACGTGCAGTATTTGCTTCTCTACATGTGGTAAACTGTTTAAAAAAAAAAAAAAAAAAAGTTTTCAATGTACCAGGCCTATGCATTTCATTAGTAAGAACGTTTCCAGACAAATACCTTAGAGCAGAATTGCACCAAGAGTAATCTGACCTTTGGGCATAGTAATCACTGTCCTGAGTTCAAATTTAATAACATAGAAAATACTTGGCTTCTGTAAACAGCCATAAGGAATAAACAGGTTGTTGTATGTCATTTTACATCTCAAGCTGAAGTAATTACTCTAGCTTCAGAAATAAGGTAGCTGATCACAAATACAAGAGTGACTATAAAACAGCCTCACATTTCAACTACCAATTGAAGGGATACCGTCACAGTAGTATTAATAGTAATAACAATGTAATGCATGTGAAGTATCTCTTATCCAAGAATTTTAAAGTGCTGTAAAATCCTTAATAACAACTCTGTGAAGTAAAGACATATTAGTAGAAGAATTCTATATTTTAAAAAGATAGGCAAACTTTTCAAATTTGGGTGCCTAATGTCTAAATATGGATTTAGTTGCCTGTGTTTAGTTGCCCAAATTCGAAAAGTTTGGCCTATATTCTTTACCTGTGTTACTAATAATACTTTAGATTAATCAGATTGAAAGAATTTTCACAATCCAATTTACTTTGCAATATTTGTTATTTCTTTACTTTTACCAATTCATTGATCCTGGACAGTGATCTGTTTTTTATACCTTAATACAAGGATGAGACATTTCCATTTCCAGCATAGCAGGCAAATGTAGAAATACAAAACATTGCTACACAAAACTATTAACTTTCATAGTAAGCTTATAAGGTATTCCTCCTACTCCCCAACACAAGCATCCTTCTGTCTTTGTTTATTTTAGTTTTAGTATCTCTTTAAAAATAAACCCTTGTGTTAGTTATGCACATCAGGCTAAATCACCATGACCTAATAATAACATGGCACTGCATACTGTACTAATGCAGCAAGCTTATTGACATGCCAACTACATCAATGTGTCATGATACACTAATGCTTTTAGATATGCTGCTCTTCTGCTGTAGGCAACAAAAACATCAAGAGATAAAATTATTAATTTCACTGCTGTATCTTGTAAATCCTGTGAGTGGGTTTATGCTAGCTTCCCTTTGAAATGTGGGTCTCTCTGACATTGTTATAAATGGGAGAAACATTCCTTCAGGGCTAGAACTTAGCACATAAGGTCTTGCCTTGTGAAGGAAATGTTTTGTAAAATGAGACAAAATGTATATACCGGCATTATTGAGTTTCAGGAGCACAAGCAAAACAAGTAGATTTTACAATTAAACATTCTTGATGGTGCAGCTGTGACTCAGAAATGAATTTTATTAATAAATAAACTTATTTGGCAGATTATTAATGCTAAAGCATATTAATTGTTTTCATAGAGAACTGAGTTTGTGGGAAGTTCATACAGATACAACTTCAGTATGAGTTCGTGCACATACAACTTCAGTAGGAGTTTTACATGCACACAGGTTGCAGGATCAGAGGCTGCTTTGGCCATCCATATTTGTCATGCCATTGATATGTTGATGGGTTTGTTTTTAACATGAATTCCCTTTTGCCTGCACTAATTTCACATTCACTCCAGGGCTGCATTCTTTTGCAATCCTATTCCTACACAAAGAGAATTTTTGAACACTTTTGTTGATCTCCCTATGCAAAGCTGGAAATACTGCATAAAGGCAAGGGCCCACGATTGCTGCCACTGTCATTTAAACACAAAGGAACAAATGCTACCTTTGGATTTTGAGATAACAACAGTATTGAGTCTGTGTCTTGCATTCTATTCTGTTCTATATGGGTTCTTATATTGTGCTCATCACCGATACAGACAAGCTTCACCCATATGTTAGAGAGTTCCGTTGTGCCAGAGGAACATAGTTGTCGACCATGGTGTTCTCCCAGGGCTTTAGGTGGTCATTTAAATAAGCTGGGCCTAGGCCATGGAGCCGCCTTGAAGATAAAGGACTGAGACCTTGAACTTGATTTGAAATTCTATGTGAAGCCTGTGTAACTGAATGAGAACATCACTAGCACATTGGAGGACATAAGTATTTTGGTTTTAAGGTTGCTTTTATTTCCCCCTAAATGTTAATTGGGCAATTTTTTTTAAATGACTGCCTAAATTACAGCCACAAAATTTGTACATGGCAAGCCTTGCATTGCATACAGTTGTCTGGTTTTTGTACATATCTGTGGATGTAATTTAGGTGGTCAGGTTTGTCAATTTGTCCGGTGTTAATCGAGGTAAATGAGTTTTTGGTTGTGAACTTAAGGTTATTTATTTCATAGTCCACAGGCGCTGACTTTCCAAAGTGCCGGGAGGTGCTTGACCCCTGGCTTTGTCCCAGGCCCTGCCCCCACTCCATTCCTTCCCCCAAAACCCCACCCACACCCCACCTCTCCCTACCCCCTCTCCGCCCCGCCTCTTCCCGCCCAGTTCCACCCCCTCCCCCGAGCACCCTGCCTCCTGCACGCCGGGAAACAGCTGTTCACGGCGGGCAGGAAGCATGAGGAGGGAAGGGAAGGTGCTGATCCGTGGGGCCCTCCGGCGGGCAGGAGGCACTAGGGGGAATGGGCAGGGAACTGATAGGGGGGCTGCCGGTGGGTGCTCAGCACCCACCATTTTTTCCCTATGGGTGCTCCAGCCCCCAGAGCACCCATGGAGTTGATGCCTATGTCATAGTCCCCTGTTCCCTCACACCTCACTCTTTCATAATCAGCCTCTGTGATCCTTCATTTTAAATTCAGGTTTTCAAAGTGGACTAAGGGAGTTAGATGCCCAACTCCCATTGAATTTCAGTGGGACTTGAATGCCTGACTCCCTTAGGCTCCTTTGAAAACACCAGCCACATGTTTAGATTGGAAGGTCTGACTGTAATGCGGTCCTAGGTGGAGCAGTGTTATTCCTATGGTATTGCTCCACCTAGGACCTGAATGGATGTCACCCCTTTTAATATTTGTACCCCTGTGAAAGTAATGCATTGTCATGAAATATATAAATCCATTGTGTGCTGTACAATGCAATAACTGATTATTGCATGATGCCTTGGTTATTAATGGCCCATAAGTGAATACAGCCAAGAGGCATCAGAACCCAAGAATGAGTTCAACCATATGATGCACATCAGGGACTACTGCTGATATTTATCACTGAATGTAAGTTGGAGGTGTTGCAATTAATTTGTAAAGTTAGTTCACAAGATAAGAGGGATCATTTGGTTGTCACAAAATTGGGGAGTGAGTGGATAACACCCCGTAACCCAGTGCCGTCAGACTGCCGGGGGAAGGGTCCTCTGGCCCTTGCCTTGTGAGAATGATGATGATGTTTTCATCCTAAAGCATCTTGTGAATGTGATCACGATGTGGAGCCTCACAAGAACAAGGGTTGTTATTGGGGACCGACGAATATTTCCAGTCTTCTCTTCTGTTACACGCATAGAAGAAACAGCTGTGAAAATGAAATTTTAGCTCTGTAAAATAATCTCTCTGAGGTTTTTGTGGACACTTGGCAGCAGTTTGAGCACAAATCCCCAAAGTCCTTCCTTTTAGAGGATATTGGATTATATCATCACTGAGTGAACTGGGCAGAAGAGCATTTTGATTCCGAGGGAAAAGTCTTCTTGCTGAGCACAAAGATCAGGAGAAGCTGCAGTAATGAGAGAGAGAGATTAACAAAAAACAAATCGGGACAGTGACATGGGAGTGTGCTAAAACGTGATGTGTTTAAAATATGGAGAAGGTTTTTCAAACAAGAACGACCACTCCAAATAAGTGGATGAGGCGATTATTTGTGTGATTGTGAGTAATTTGAGAGTTTAGGCTGATGGCATTCAACCCTAGAGATTTGTAAGGAGAAATCAATAACTTGTGCAAATAGGCTGATGGTATTCAAGACTGGAGATTTGTGAAGAGCAGTGTCAGCCTGTAGGAATATACCATTTTACAGGAGTGGAGCCTGTCTTGCTGAAGGTAAGTATTGAATGGTAGTAGCTTTTTAGCTTGCGACACCCAGTGCATGTCTAACATGTTCTTTCTGTTTCATAGATAACTGCAGTGACTTGAACTCCGAACTGCAGAGAGTGCTGACAGGGCTGGAGAATGTAGTCTGTGGGAGGAAGAAGAGCAGTTGCAGTTTGTCTGTAGCAGAAGTGGACAGACACATTGAACAACTCACCACTGCCAGCGAACATTGTGATCTAGCTATTAAGGTGCAACAGCATTAACTAGTCACTAAATGCATTGTGTGCATACTGCGATACATGATAATACCTTGCATTTATAGCACCTATCATCTGAGAATCTCAGAGCACTTCACAAAGATTTACTGTGCCTCACAACGTCTTGTGAGGGTACAGTAGTATATCTGTATTTGCATATGGGTGCACTAAGTCACAGAGAGATTATCTATAGATCTTGTATAGAGCTTTTCATCTATAGATCTCAAAGCACTTTACAAATATGGGTAAGCCTCATCCTTATTTTACAGATGCTCAAACTAAGGTACAGAGAGATTGCCTGACTAGCTTTGCAGTTATAAACGTGTCATTTATTTAAAGTACCTTATACAGAATAGGCTGACTAATGGTCAAGGTATTTAGAAGAGTAAATAATAACTATCAGAGGAAGCAATGGCTATTTAAAAATTACAAACTGAAGATGAAAGAGCTGTAAATATTTCTGCACATTAGCTCCTTACCACACCCCTATAAAGTAGGGAAAACAGGAAACTGCAGCAGAGAGTTTATGATGTGACGGATGCCACAGGAGCTATTGGAGTTCCTGGTATCCAGGTTTGTGCTCAGAACATTAGATCACATGACTAATTACAGTGTGTGAGGCTAGATTCCAGATTTATCCTTGATGCATCAGCATGCATTATCAAACTGAACTGTAACACTGTATAATCAGGAATGAAGAAAAACTCAATAATTCATTAGTTCCCCCAGAGAAATAGTTCCCTGTATGTAAGAAGTGCCTTCTATTCTCTTCTTCTTTGCAATAATGTAGTGTGCTAGTTAACAAACCAGAGCTGAAGCAAAGCATGCCACATCCAGAGAACTGCAGACAGTTTAGTTAGCAAATGGATGTTGGTACATCAGCTTGGGAGAGCATAAGCGCAGAATGATACTTGGATTCAGCTAACTTTGTACATGGTGGTTATCAACATGCCTGTCAGAGTAATGAGGTGAGTGGGTGCATTTAACGTATTATGCGGCTTTTCCAAAAGGAAGCACTGGAAAAGGGGGCTGGTATCTTTTTACCTTTTCTGCGGCTCATTTTTGATCTTTCCCTTTCTTTACTTGCAGTGGTAGTTACTATGTTCTGTAAGATGCATTAAAACAGATTAGCAATGCTGACAAAGACTGAATACTAGGTGGAAGTTTTCATTGTATCTGAAATAGTTGTTAAGTAGATTTAATTATAAATACAAAACTTCATATTCCAAATATGAGATTTGATTCCTTGAGTAGCTTTCTGTATATTGTCTCCAAGAGAACATCCAGCAATATCCTGTTTTTCTTTTTGCCATCTCTAACAAATTTTATTTCTTCTTCTTCTTCACATTTCAAGAATTCAGCTCATTCATGCAATGAGAAAGTTAAGTGCTCCTTGAAGCAGTATGTGATCTTGAAATAACCTGTCTTGTTTTCTGAATCTGATTATTGGAGACCTGTAGATTCAGGTGGAGGGTTCATTCTTTATGAAGCATAGCAGCTTGTTTTGTATTGCATGGGTTTTACAAGGTATTGCTAATCAGAAAAAGAGGGTAGGAACCTCCTCATGAGTAGTGTGTATTTGGCATTTACTCTTGAGCCGAACTGTATGAATTGTTACATTTTCAACTGTAAACCAATTATAAACGTGATGGGGGAGAAATATGGTCCAATGTTTACAGGAGGAAATTGATAGTCAGGACATGCAGGGTCTGTTCCTACTTCTTCCATAGGCTTGCTGCATAACCTTGGACAAGTCACTTAACCTCTTTGTGCACAGGCCTGTATAGGGGTTAGTGTGGCTCTGCACCACCTTGGGCGGAAGCTCTGGAAGGGATTGTGCGTCAGAGAATCCCAGTTCTTCGCTGAGGTCCCAGGTACACAGAAGAAATGTATAGGCTGCACCATCCTAAGGCATAGTGTACCCCATCCCACACACACACACACACACACACACAGACGCACACAGTGTGCCTGTCCAAGGCTACTTCCCCTTCCCATATCTCCTTGTGCCCTTGGGGGTAACACATGTCCCTGGGGACCCATGAAAAGAACCATCCTTGTGCTCCCCCAAATGTGGGACTGCACTTGTCCCTGTCATGCTAGTATGTGACGATTCCTTGCACCCTCCCCAGCCCTACGCACCCATTCAAGAGCCAGGCACAATCTGGCACTGTAAGTACATCTACACTTCAGCTGGGAGGGTGCTTCCCAACACAGGTAGACAGACAAGCACTAGCTCTGCTTGAACAAACGTGCTAAAAATAGCAGTGTAGCACAGATGGCAAGTCAGGCTAGGTGCCTGAGTACAAACCTGCCTGGACCCACTAGGTATGTATTCGGGTGGCTTGCATGAGCTGCCACCTGTGCTACCCCCTCTACGCTGGCTCAGACTCTCATGTCTGTCTACCTGTGTTGGGACGCACATTCCCAGCAGCAGTGCAAATATATCCTGTGTGTCTCAGTTAAGTCATCTACAAAAGAGGCACAACACTTACTCATGGTGAGGCATAGTGAATGTGTTATACTTTGAGGCCATCTGAGGAAAGGTGCTGTATAAATGCCAACTGCATGCTGTTGTTTGTGTATATCTCAGTGAGGTGAACTTTTATTTATAAAGCACCCGTCGTCTGCCCAGGTACTGATGGTGCTGAAGAGTAGAAAGGTTACAAACTATAATAATGAAAACAGCCTTCATTAAACTTCAAACAAAAGGAGTACATTGTGTGTGCGCGTGTGCGTTGCTTGTATGCATGTGTGTAATTGTATAGCTCCCCTTACATCCTTATGTGGTAGCAGTGTAGTATTATTGGCCCTTTTTAATATTCTCCTCCTGCTCCTTTCTGTCTTATTGTGACTGTGTTTTTGCAGACAGTAGAGGAGATTGAGGGTGTGCTGGGACGGGATCTTTATCCAAACCTGTCTGAAGAGAGATCTCGGTGGGAAAAGGAGCTGGCTGGTCTGAGGGAAGAAAATGAGAGCCTCACTGCTATGCTGTGCAGCAAAGAGGAGGAGCTGAACAGAACCAAGGCCACCATGAACGCTATCCGGGAAGAAAGGGACAGATTGCGCAGAAGGGTAAGACTACCAGCTCTCTACAGAGTACATAGAAGAGCCTTTCTAGTAACAGGGATCTTTTCAGTTCATTCCAGGCCACGTAGGTTTGTAACTGGGGAAAGTTGATACCCTGCACCTTCTTTCTTGCACCATTTTTTTGGAAGTGAAGCAATATAAGTTGTAAAGGTCTAGGAGTGAATGGAAAGAAATTGCAAGGAGCTTCTATATGATGAGCAGTCAAGATATACAGAAGCCTCATATCAGAAAACATGTGTTAACTGTAAGGCTGGTATTCATGGGCAGGAAAGTATGTGTAAGTTGTTTATAGATAAAGCAGATGTTCATTTAGTGGATTTTCCAGTGATCAACAAATAGATCTTTGTCTTTGATGAGAATTCAATTTGTGATTAAGAGAAAGTAAAAGAGCAGGATACCTGTCACTGGGAAATAATGCTCTGTGAATTGAACTTTGAGTAGTCCCAGCCCTGTCCTCTATCCCTGTCTCCGTCTTCCAGCTGTTTGCGATGTCAGACAAAACTGTTGTTCTTTATGTAGACACTGAATTAAGACAAGAGGAAATTAAGTTACAGAAAAGATGAAAGCTTAAAGAATCCATGGTCAGTCTCTGGTATTCTTTTAAATTATTTACTGCCTCTCCTTAATAGACAAGTTAGGAAATTTTGCAGTGTTCCATGAAACATCTGCATGTGAAATAATAATTTCGTTTTTGAAGAATATGTGTATGATTTTTCTTCCAAGCCTTGTGCTGTATGTGGGTAAAAATTTAGAGACTTTTGTATTCTTTGTAAATTGTTGAAAATGTTGTTTTTTACCTAGTGGCAGCGGAGCAACCTCTTCCTTGAATGCTACATATTTAAGAGATCAGTACTCTTCAGCATGGTATTAGACTATATCGTTTGCCATTTCCAGTCTTTGGATATCCAGCCATAGATCATCTCACTCAACAAAGCTTCCTATCCATCATAACATAATGAGTTTATTTGCTGCTAAGGCCAATTACACCTATAATCTGCTGTGGTGCTTACTAGATCTTTATGTCTGATGCTCTGTTTAAAATTGCACGTGTGTATGTATACATGCATGTGTGTATGCCTAAATTTCTGTTTGAGCTAGCGCTGTCGATTAATCGCAGTTAACTCACGTGATTAACTCAAAAAAATCAATCGCGATTTAAAAAATTTATTGTGATTGATCATAGTTTTAATGGCACTGTTAAACAATAGAATACCAATTGAAATTTATTAAATATTTTGGATGTTTTTCTACATTTTCAAATATATTGATTTCAATCACAACTCAGAATATAAAGTGTAAGTACTCACTTTATATTATGTTTATTACAAATGTTTGCGCTGTAAAAATGATAAAAGAAATAGTTGTTTTCAATTCACCTCATACAAGTACCATAGTGCAATCTCTTTATCGTGAAAGTGCAACTTACAAATGTAGATTTTTTTTTTTGTTACATAACTGCACTCAAAAACAAAACCATGTAAAACTTTAGAGCCTACGAGTCTGCTCAGTCCTACTTCATGTGCAGCCAATTGCTAAGAGAAACAAGTTTGTTTACATTTACTGGAGATAATGCTGCTCGCTTCTTATTTACAATATCACCTGAAAGTGAAAACAGGCGTTCACATGACACTTTTGTAGCCGGTATTGCAAGGTATTGTGCCAGATATGCTAAACGTTCGTATGCCCCTTCATACTTTGGCCACTATTCCAGGGGGCATGCTTCCATGCTGATTCCACGCCTTAAAAAAAAAAATGTGTTAATTAAATTTGTAACAGAACTCCTTTGGAGAGAATTGTATGTCTCCTGCTCTGTGTTTTACCTGCATTCTGCCATATATTTCATGTTATAGCAATCTTGGATGCTCACCCAGCATGTTGTTCATTTTAAGAATGCTTTCACTGCAGATTTGACAAAACGCAAAGAAAGTACCAATGTGAGATTTCTAAAGATAGCTACAGCACTTGACCCAAGGTTTAAGAATCTGAAGTGCCTTCCAAAATCTGAGAGGGACGGGGTGTGGAGCATGCTTTCAGAAGTCTGAAAAGAGCAACACTCTGATGCGGAAACTACAGAACGCGAACCAGCAAAAAAGAAAATCAATCTTCTGCTGGTGACATCTGACTCAGATGATGAAAATGAACATGCGTCAGTCCACACTGCTTTGGATCCTTATCAAGCAGAACCCATCATCGTCATGGACGCATGTCCTCTGAAATGGTGGTTGAAGCATGAAGGGACATATGAATCTTTAGCGTGATTGGCTGAACAAGAAGTAGGACTGAGTGGACTTGTAGGCTCTCAAGTTTTACATTGTTTTATTTTTGAATGCAGTTATTTTTTGTACATAGCTCTACATTTGTAAGTTCAACTTTCATGATAAAGAGATTGCACTACAGTACTTGTATTAGGTGAATTGAAAAATTCTATTTTATTTTTACAGTGCAAATATTTATAATAAAAAATAAATATAAAGTGAGCACTGTACACTTTGTATTCTGTGTTGTAATTAAAATTAATATATTTGAAAATGTGGAAAACATCCAAAAATATTTACATAAATGGTATTCTATTATTGTTTAACAGCACAATTAATCGTGATTAATTTTTTTAATCGCTTGACAGCCCTCGTTTGAGCATTTGTTTTCTCTTGCAAAATGTTTGTCTCTCATGTAATCATATACCATGCAGTGTAAATAGTTCTCAGCCCTGAGATGTTCACACTGAGTACTTGACACGGTATTTTCACTTTAACTAGGACCATTGCCACATCTTGAGCTACAGACCAAGTTCAAAGAGGTGTTTGCTGGTTTCTCCGTATAAAGAAGATATTATTTGTTTTCTGTTTTCCTTCAGCTGTGCAAATCTACCACAGCTATGGACAACATGAGGGTGGTGTTGTATAAAACTTATTTGGAGGATGTTCTTAGTCAGGATGTATGTTTGCTATGTCAGCCTTTGGGAGGTTTTGGAAAGTACAGTCCTCCTGGCCATATGCAATAACTAAACCCAGATCTGCATTTTCTGGTAATAAAACTTAGGAACTATAACAGGTTGAGGTGTTTAAAGAAGAGGCACTAGAACAAACTGATAAATTAAAGGGCAGTGAAGACTAGATGGTAAGCATCCAAATGTGCTAAGGAATTTAAGAATGGATTGGCTGAGCAGCTCACAATAGGCAACTTCTAATTAAAATCACACCAGAGGATTGGAGGATAGCAAATGTTGCATCTCTTTTTTTAAAGGTCTGGGGAATTACAGATCAGTAAGTCTATGCCTACACTAGAGATCTTACAGCAGCACAGCTGTACCAGTGCAGCTGCGCCATTGTAAGATCTCTCATGTAGCCACTCTGTGCTAACAGAAGAGAGCTCTTCCATCAACTTAATTAAACCAGGGGCAGTAACTATGTCAGGGGCACACCCCTAAGCAACAAGTTTTGCCGACATACATGGTAGTGTAGACATGGCCTAAGTCTTACTTGCTTACCTGATAAATTAATGTAAATGGTCGTTTAAAAATAGAATGAATAGAACTTACATTATTCTAATATAATAAGGTCTAACCAGCATAGTTCTACAAAGGAAAATTATACCTCAAAAATCTATTAAAATTCTTTAACATGTCAGCACAATAATGGATTAAAAAAAAAACAGCTGACATAATTTATTTGAAATTTCAAAAAGATTTCTAGAAGTGCCTTACAAAACATTATTAAGGAATCTCAGAAGTCATGGAGTGAAAGGATCAGAAAATAGATAAGTGACAGAAAACAAAAAATAGGACTAAATGGTCAATTTTCATCATGGCAAAAATGCCATGAAAGTGCCGTGTGAACCAGGACCATATATATTGTGTTTAATATACTTCCTAATTATCTGCAAAAGCAGGAACAGTGAGATGGCAAAACTGGCAGATAATATGTAATTATTTAGGTCAGTCAGCACTGAAAAAGTCTTCCGACTGGCTGAGGAGAAACATTTGGGAAGGGGAGAGAGATTTGGGATGGGCAAGAGGAAAGGGAGTAGGGATTGAGAAGTGGGGGAGAACTAGTCGAGGTCCAGAACACAGAAATTTTAGGGGAAGAGAGAGAGGCAGGCAGGTAAGAGGAAAAAATGAGAAAATAAAAAAGCAAGCAAGCAAAAACAGAGAAAATTCAGAGGCCGAACCCAAAAGGAAGTCAGAATTTTCAGAGTGGAGGAGAAGGACCTGGCATGGCACCGGTGGGAACAAGATAGAAATATTTATTTAATTAATTTAGAAAATAAGGCAAATTATATTTTTACAGTGTGAATTTAGTGCTTGTGAAAGGACAAGTACATCGAAGGCCAGCCCGCACCTCAACCCTTGCCTGAAAGGATGGCATCTAGGATGCTGTGTGTGCAAGAGAAAATTTCCCACTGTTGCTGGCAATGGTTCAGCTCCAAAGGGGTCAGCAACACTGGTAGCTGTCATAAACATACAGCTAAGGGTAGCATAAAATCCCTCCTTTACCTGTGAAAGGTTAAGAAGCTCAAATAACCTGGTTGGCACCTGACCAAAAGGACCAATAAGGGGAGAAGATACTTTCAAATCTGTGGGGGAAGGTTTTTGTTTGGTGGTCTCTTTGTGTTCTCTCCTGGACAGCGAGGAACCAGGCAGGGAAAATACATCTCCTAAAGCCATACCTGAACTAAGCATCTAAGAATACAAATCCTAAGTAATAGGAAGGAAATGCATTAGATTATCTTTTGTTTTAGCTTGTGAATTTTCCCTAGGCTGTATTTAAGAATCTGATTGGGTTTTTAGTGTCCTAGAAACCCAAGGGTCTGGTCTGTGCTCACTTTGTTTGCTCTCAAGCCTCCCCAGGAAAGGGGGTGAATGGGCTTGGGGGAATATTTTAGGGAAACAGGAACTCCAAGTGGTCCTTTTCCTAAATCTTTGTCTAACTCATTCGGTGGTGGCAGCGATACCCTTCCAAGGACAAGAAAGAATTTGTGCCTTGGGG